ATCAAACATGCAGAGTTGGATTTAAAAAATCGTAACAATGATGTTTATGGAAAATAAGAAATTATTTATGGTGCACTAAATCTGCATCAAATTAGTTTTAAAATGTTCTTTATTTTGTGTTGATATCTCCATTCGTTCTTGAGATACGATTTTTTTAAATTTATCTTTCATATTTATTACAATGAAACATGCAGAGTTGGATTTAAAAAATCATAACAACGATGTTTATGGAGAATAAGAAATTATTTATGGTGTATTAAATCTTAATCAAATTTGCTTTAAAATCTTCTGTATTTCATGGTGATATCTCCATTCGTTCTTAAGATACGATTTTTTTAAATTTATTTTTCATATCTATTAGAATGAAACATGCAGATTGCATTTAAAAAATCATAACAACGATGTTTATGGAAAATAAGAAATTATTTATGGTGTATTAAATCTTAATCAAATTTGCTTTAAAATCTTCTTTATTTCATGGTGATATCTCCATTCGTTCTTGAGATACAATTTTTTTAAATTTATCTTTCATATTTATTACAATGAAACGTGCAGAGTTGGATTTAAAAAATCATAACAACGATGTTTATTGAAAATAAAAAATTATTTATTGTGCATTCATTCTTAATTAAATTTGCTTTAAAATGTTCTTTATTTCATGGTGATACTTCCTTTCGTTCTTGAGATACGATTTTTAAAAATTTATATTTCATATTTATAATATTCAAATTCTGGCTCTGTAAGTTGTAAAGTTCGGCCAAGATAGAGTTGCCAAGCTGTAAATTGATTATTTAAAGTTTATTGGATAATAAATATTTATCTCATTTCTATTTATTTATTTTCAATCAACCATGACAACTAAATTAAAATCACTTTTCAGCGTAAAGTAACATTATAGGTATTTTTAAATGTATTTCAGAAGAAGAATCACTTTTGAATTCCTTAATAATTCCCTCTGCAACCTCACTTACGTAATCATCTGTTAAATTTGTTGGTAAATGATCATAACATGCTTCAAAATGTTTAACGAAAGCCTTTAAAAGTTCTTCATTAGGATATTTTACGTTTATCTCATCGTAATTTATAGCAATATTTTTATAACCAACTTCTTTTAGGATAGATTTTAATAACTTTCCAACGTTAGTATTTGTGAAAAAAGGACTATCCCAAACCGTTGTTTGGTATTTCCTAAATTTTTCGCGTTGATTTACCATTAAGAATATTTCCACAAACGCATTTTTAGTCATTGTTGTGAAAAATATTTGTCCAGTCGGTTTCAGCATTTTATAAAAGTTTCTAGCCCAACTTAAAATAAACAGNAAAGCGTACTTACTAAGTTGTTTGAACCCAATGTAAACAGTACATAGAATAGATTAAATCGAAGTTTTCAGTAAATTTTTCGGGAAAATTCTCCAACGATAAATCCATCAACTCAAACTCACAATTTTTTTGATCATTATACTTTTCTTTTGCTTTTAAAATCATTTGTTCTGAAAAATCAATTCCGAGGATTTTATAATTCTCCACATTTTTCATCACAAATTCTTGAAAAATGTTAACCATTGATGTCCCTTCACCACAACCAGCATCCAAAATTTTCATACTTTCAACACGATTCTTTGATTTATTTGGCCAATTTATGAGACGTCCATGATCAGATAAAATCTTTTTTGTAGTTACAACAACTGGTGAATGGAGTTTCTCGTAAAAATTTGGGTTGAACATTTTTTATGTATTTCTCCCCGATTTTTAATTCGAAAAATGACCCATTTTATGTATGTTATCTCTATATATTGACATAATGAATTTATTTTTATCATAATCTTTAAATACTACACTCCTAGATTATTTTTATGATTGGAATAAATCTTTTAAAATATTACGATGCAATTCAAACTGTAACAATAACATTCAAACTTTAAATATTTCCATTAAAATAAAAATAAACATATTTAATTAAAAGTCATGCCATCGCGGAATATCCAGTTATAGAATTTTCTTCACAAAAGCAAATTTATTCTAAGTTCTAACAGATTTAATAATAGATTTTATGAAAATAATTGGAAGACTATTACATCTGAATGTGTTTGCCTATACCTATGCCACAAATCTTCTTCTTCTCTGGCCCTACAACCCTGGCCTGCCTCACAATATCCTTCCAGTCTTTCCTGTCTCTCTACAACATGGCTCCTCCATTCTCATCACATGACAAACCCATCTCAATTGATTTTGATAACATAACCACGTCGTTGTCGTTGTATGCCTGATATAATTTGAAGTTATATCGTCTTCTAGTCCGTTTTCGCTTACTCCGTCAAAGATGGTGCGTAGCACCCTAAGTACGTCAGATAAGATGAAATACCATCTTGTTGTTTCGAATCTTCCTCTTGAGGTTGTTTCAACTGTACACGATATTTATCTTTAATCCTCCTGAACTAGATAAAAATATTCTAATTACTCATCTATCAAGCAGTGAAGAGAAGCGACTCGATGCATTACTTTCTGGTACCGCTATGGGTGACCAAGAACCTCCCGATCTTTATAGAGGAATGTCAACAATTCTTGGAAGCATTCAGATGGCCAGTCAAGATCTTCTTTTAAAATTATGGAAAAAGCCACTTCCACCTAGCATAAATATTGCGTTGACTGCATCTGGAAAAGAGGATATTAATGAAATATTAATAATAGCAGATAAGATCTGGGAATCTTGCCAAAATTATTCTACGAATAAAATTTTTGAGGTTCATACACAATCAAACTTCAATTAATCCTCAGAGTTCATGAAAACTTTTGCAAATACTTGTAAAAATTTCTTCAAGATATTGGCAGATGAACAATTAAGTATAAAATCTCAAATATTTTCCCTTCAAAATAAAGAATTTAATGGATAATATTCTAATCAGTCTAAACCAAATTGTCTAAAATTGTCGAAATCGAAACAGAGGTCGTTCCCCATCTCCACGTCGTTCATCTTCCTAATCAAAATTTTCATCAAAATCAAATATTTGTTAATATCACAATAATTTCCAAGATACAGCTTTGAAATGTGAATCGTGGTGCTAATTTTATAAAGCATTTAATTCAAAACAAAATGAAGATATTTATTAAAAACTACATAAACCCAAACATAATTTCAACTTCCAATTTTTCCTTACCTGTTAAACATACTGTATGTTGTATAATTATGTTACACATTGTTACAAGTCAAAATTTGAACAGATGACAGCTTATGGTATTTGCCGACCATCCTCATCTTCTGTTGCTTACTCTCGTGATATGGTTTCTAAAAGAGACACTTTGGATTGGCGTCCATGTGGTGACTATGCACTCCAAACCATAACAACGATGATTATAAAAATAAAAAATTATTTATTGTGCATTCAACCTTAATCAAATTTGCTTTAAAATGTTCTTTATTTCATGGTGATATTTCCATTCGTTCTTGAGATACGATTTTTTAAAATTTATATTTCATATTTACAATATACATATTCTGGCTCTGTAAGCCGTAACGTTCGGCCAAGATAGATTTGCCAAGCTGTAAATTGATGATTTAAAATTTATTGAATAAATATTTTTCCTCATTTCTATTTATTTATTCTCAATCAACCATGACAACAAAATTAAAAAGTATTTTAAAATCACTTTTCAGCATAAAGTAATATTACAGGCATTTTTATATTTAATTCAGAAGATGAAGAACTCAAATCACTTTTTAATTCCTTAACAAATCCGTCAACAACCCCATTTACATAATCATCTATTAAATTTGTTGGAAAATGATCATAAAATGCTTGAAAATTTTTAATGAAAGCGTTTAAAAGTTCTTCATTAGGAAATTTTACGTTTATCTCATCGTAATTTATAGCAATATTTTTATAACCAACTTCTTTTAGGATAGATTTTAATAACTTTCCAACGTTAGTATTTGTGAAAAAAGGACTATCCCAAACCGTTGTTTGGTATTTCCTAAATTTTTCGCGTTGATTTATCATTAAGAATATTTCCACAAACGTATTTTTAGTCATTGCAGTTAAAAATATTTGTCCAGTTGGTTTCAGCATTTTGTAAAAGTTTTTAGCCCAACTTAAAATAACAAACAGTTATTATTTACAATATGTTTTGAGTATTTAACAAAACGTACTTACTAAGTTGTTTGAACCCAATGTAAACAGTACATAGAATAGATTAAATCGAAGTTTTCAGTAAATTTTTCGGGGAAATTCTCCAACGATAAATCCATCAACTCAAACTCACAATTTTTTTGGTCATTATATTTTTCTTTTGCTTTTAAAATCATTTGTTCTGAAAAATCAACTCCGAGGATTTTGTAATTCTCCACATTTTTCATAACAAATTCTTGAAAAATCTTAACCGTTGATGTTCCTTCACCACAACCAGCATCCAAAATTTTCATACTTTCGACACGATTCTTTGATTTATTTGGCCAATTTAACAGACGTCCATGATCAGATAAAATCTTTTTTGTAGTTACAACAACTGGTGAATGAAGTTTCTCGTATAAATTAGGGTTGAACATTTTTTATGTATTTCTTCTCGATTTTTAATATAAAAAATGATCCTTTTGTATGTATTGTATTGTTTCCAAAATTTATTGTCTCTTCACTTCTCTTATGTAGATACTTCGATTAGTTATTTCTTAAAAAAATATATAATTCGAAGAGATCCGCTCTGGTTAGAAGTTCCAAATCAACTAACTCTTGTTTTGTATTTCTCTAACAACCTAAGTTTTATTTTGCGCATTTGCAATTGATTAAGCCAAATATGCTTTATACAAAGTTCAATAGTTTAGGAATTATCAATTTTTTGGTTTTTGTACATTTTCAGTATATACTCCTACAAATATTGGAATTTAGACTTTCATAACAGTTTCTTTGGCAACATATTGACTTCTGTGGATAGACTACACTCTAATACACATTTTAAGTTGAAAAATATTTTCCATATTTCGATTGTTTAAAAATACAGGGAAAAAATGTTTCGTGACTTAAGTTAATTTTTAGACAAACCATATTTTTTACGAGCGTCTATTTCAAAATTTCAATAATACATTTGGCGTACAAATTATGTTAGAAATTTCTCTGTTTTATAACTTTTCAAATGAGATATTAACCAGGGCTAAATGTTTTGCCAATTAGCTAATAATAAGGTAAGGATAGGCCAAAAATGAGACAAGTTAACTAAAAAACGTTAATTCTTGAATACAATAAATGACATTCAATTCGTTAATAATTACAAACAATCAATTATACAAATGTTGTACATTTAGCCAGTACACTGCGGCCCAGAACCACGATAAAATGTGACAAATATCAAATATATAAATATTTTTTTTTGAATTTGTCGCAGTCGTGCAATTCTATGTATAGCAAACTACTGGCATTATTTTTGTGAAAATTTGCATACAAGATTTACTCAAGGTACTCATTTCAGCTAAAATATTTTCATTGTTCCCCAAATTGGTTATTTTAAATAGAATGTACCAATTTTCTCGTATGTATCCTCTAAATTTTAATATAATTTGATACAAGTCATCATATATATCGTCATCATATATCTAGAGTGCACCATTTTTTAATTATTTCAGTTTTTTCAAAAATTTTGGCAAATGCAACCTTCACAATAAAAATAATTTTTCAAAATTACACTGGAGTCCGCCGAAATATTCTCAAGGCTTGCACAAAAAGGACCCATAGCTTACGTAACCATTGAAAAGTTTTTTAAAAAATTATACAGGATGGTCACCAATTTGCGCCGAATTTTCCTATCTCGAAAAGTTGAAAACTTCGTTTTTTTAAATGGCAACCCCAATTTTTTCCTTTACCAGCGTATTGTACGTAAAATAAAAAAACTTCGTCAGTACATCCCTATATCTAAAATGTATGGTTTTCGTAGAAACTTGAAATTTTCTTGAGTATTAGTAAATTTAAAATTATTAGTTTGCTTTGGTTTGAAGCAACCAAACCAAAGAAACAAAAACTATCGTGGTACTTCTAATGACGGTAACAATGACAGAAGATTTTTTGAAAATTTTCTTCGGAGATTACCGGTGTAAACGAAGAATTAATTTCCTGCATGTTTTGATAAATTTCCCAATATGAGAGAAACTATAATAAATAGGTATAGAAATCTTTATAGATAATTTGTAGAGAATTAAATTCCCTTTTGGATAGGCTAATAAAATATGGGGCATTCCATTTAAAATTTTCGACTTTTTCCCCATTGAATGAATGGAAAAACGGTAATTCAATTTTTGACCACTCTGTATAAGATACTCTGATACAACAAATGACAATCTATTTGACAACATGTGAAGAGAGCCAATTTAGAGCTTTTTTGAATGAATGTTGCCAAAAAAAATTTAAATCAAAATAACTCGAAAACGAAAAACGCTAGGTACCAATAACTTTTATAAAAGTCAATATACATTTTTTTACGTACAATTAAAAAACCATACAACGTTGGGCATAAGAACAATACGGAAGGTTAAATTTGTGAGCCAGGTATTTAACAAACTTTCTTTGCAGACCCTCCAAACGATCAATATATACAGCGTATGAGGGATTCCAAGCCACCGAAGTAAAATTCAAAACACTACCAACATACGCTGTATACAAGGAAATGACAGTCTGGATATTGGTAAAAGGACGTGATACTCGAATAATAAATCAACATGACCGCAATAGAGCAATTTTGAATCAAGAACAACCCCCAGGTCCCTAATTTGGGAAGTAACATTTACCGAATGTGTTCCCAAACGGTACTCAAATTTTATATGGTATCTCTTTCTGCTGAATAAGATACTATATCACTTATCGTAATTCGGAAACAAGTAATTTTTTAAGCAATACTCTTCCAGACGTTCCAGATCTTGCTGAACCGTTAAACAGTCAGACATGGATCCAATTCCAGAAAAGATCTTACAATCATCCGCGTACAGCAAAAAATTGGAATGAAAAAAGCACTAAACCAAAAACAAAATCGGTCCAAGGTGACTGCCCTGTGGTACGTAACGGACATAAAATTAGAAACAAAACTATCCACCTTAACTGCTTGACGTCTGTTCGAAATATAAGAAGCAATCCATGATAGCAAGCCATTCGACAAGTTGAACTTTGCGAGTTTTTCCAAGAAAATACAATGATATATCCTATCGAATGCCAAGTTGTCATTCATGGATTTCTGAATATAGTTTACAAACTCAACCAAATTCGTTTCAACCGACCGTCCACGCACAAAACCATATTGTTGATGAATAAATTGAGGTTGAAGATTAAAGTATAATTTATTGTAAATTAATTTTCAAAAACTTTCGAAATAATGGAAAGAAGCGAAATTGGACGATAGTTATTGACAAGGTGTTTCTTACCGAATTTGAAGATCGGTATTATATAGGCTTTTTTCCATTCCGTTGGGAATATGGAGAGTTTCACAGAATGAGAGAAAATATGAAACAAGGGTGCAGCAAGCTCCTCCGCGCAGCAGACGATTAGCTTACCCGGCAGACCGTCCGGACCAGGACCTAATTTATGGTTAACATGACTTAGAAGTGATGCTTCATCCTGTTGTGAAAACCAGCGAAAGGTTTCACCAAGAAAGGTACCTGAGAAATAACGATTATCAAGTTTCCCGTCAATATATACAAAAGAGAAGTCCTCGGAGAATAGCTCAGAGATTTGTTGCCCATTATCAGCTAAATTGCCATCATATTCCATCTCAGCTGGAATGCCACCCCCACCACGTTTCTTGCTCTTAACAAACGACAGAGAGATTGAGAATCGATTAGGAAATCTTGGATGCGTTTGAGGTAGGAGGTGTAGTCAGAGGCAATTAACGCCTTAGTTCGTTTACGCAATACTTTAAAAGAGAGAAAGTCGTCAGAATAGCCCCATTTCTTCCATCCTTTGTGAAATCTCAATTTTTCCTTGATCGCCTTTATGGTTGATACCATTTATGGGGGAATACCAGTCGGAAACACGACCACTCTGTGTGGAGCCACACGGGCTATGATTCAAGTTAACTTGGTGGGGAAACTCTTTCTATTAAAATAAAAATATTCAACTGAATTAAACAAGAAGACGTGTAAGTAGGCTCTTCATATCAATAAGTAATCAGTGTTCCATCAGCGTCCGTAATCTGATTCATTTGTAGGCTAAAAGGGTATCTTTTCATGTTGATCCTTTTATAGAAGTTCCTGTACTCTCTTTCCCTGTTGAGGGCTTCTATCTCTTCAAGCACTTTATTGTTTTGTGTTCTCTTCTTATATTTATGTAACTGTTTCTCCTTTGTTCTTCGATTTTTATATTCTTCAATGGTAGCTCTAGTTCATCTTCAAGTAGGCTCTCTGTTGCTCTCTAACATTTTTAGTCGAATCAATCGTTTCGTCTCCTCTGTCCTTTGTCCCAGCACGTCTTCTGCCGTTTCAGCAATATGAAATCTTCAAATGAACGCCACAATTACCATAAGAAATTACATACGATTAATCTATATTCAAAATTTGTGCTGACACTTAACACATACTTTACAACGAATCTCAGCTTCTAAACTCATTCAATGTAGCATGTGACAAGGTAAACATGAAAATCGCAAGCAATAAAACGGAAACAATGTCCAAAATTATCCATTAGATGCAAAGTTGTGTTTTGGTGTTTCAATTTGACTATTGGGAAGACAAATCAATGCATCATAAAGAACAGCATCATAATCCAAACCAAAAAGGCATCAAAACACTTCAGTTAGAAAACCAAAACTACACATTCATTCAAATTCTTAATTCCTTTGCAAAATGTATTAAATTACCATAACATGATTTCATTTTTATGTTCCAATCGAATTTCTTATCTTCATTCTTATTATTAACCCACAAAAAATGTTTCTTTAAAGTTTTATCAAGGCTATGATTCAAGTTAACTTGGTGGGGAAACTCTTTCCATTGAAATAAAAATATTCAATCGCATTAAGTGAGAAGACGTGTAAGTAAGGCTCTTTATATCAATAAGTATTTATTTATAATTAATTTAACGAAAA